TCTATCTATCTATCTATCTATCTATCTATCTATCTATCTATCTATCTGTCTGTCTGTTTCTTGCATCAAAATGTATTACATTCTTTCTCTGATTCCAGGCTTTGAAAAAAGCAGCACAATGCGAGTGTACCTACCAGTGAGTAGAAAGTACAGTGCCTTCTATTGAGAGGGACTATGACTGTTATCCCCTTATAACTGAGAAGAAGCAAACATATTTTTCAAATCTTTTTTTTCCCCTAGGGATTATTCATTTTGTTGTTTGGATGCCTCTGGGACAAGAAGGTAAGTGCTCTAGTAATTAAATCCTTGAATTTAGGATATCCTGTAATGTGCTTAACCTATTCACTGATGACTTCTTTCAAACAATACAGGTACAGGAAGCTCTGTTGCATAAATTCTCCCTATCCAGATGGTCTTCACAGCACACAAAGGTATATTCTTTATTTCTGGAGAGTTTTCTTTGCTTTTCACGGGTAGCCCCCATTTTATAAGTGGCCAGGTAGAGGGCTAAGCAATGTCTTTGATCCATGGAAACAGATAATGTATGATCCCTCAAACCTGTCTTTTCAATTAACAAGCTTTTTATTAAGCACCTACTAAATCCTAGACGCACTAGAGCTAGGCTCTAGAGGTACAAAGACAAACAGCGTCTGCTCTGGAGGAACTTATACTGAAATCAGTTATCAAGGAAATTGTTTCAGTCTCTCCCCTCCCCCTCCCCCTTTCCCCCTTTTCTTTGGCCTCTGTAAGCACAGACACTGAATTTTAATTAGTATGAAATCAGGAGATCCTTAAGCTGGGATATCATGAATGTGGACGACCTAAGGCAATGATTTTTAATTTCAATTAAAATTAAATTGAATTTCAAATAAAATTAAATAATTTAGTCAAAATTAAGAAATCAATGTACTAGGAGAATCTAAGACGTAAAGAAATAATTTGACTCCTAATCGCTATAGTTCTTTCTGGAAAAAAAAAACTTACTACACATCAATGTAATGTCTAACCATACATAAAGAGATTCCCAGTGGCCATTATTAATAAGAATTATTTCTCTAGTGTCCCATGATGGATGCCTGGTATCTGATGCTTTAAAAAAAATTGAAATGTATACCTATCCACATTTTCTCTGCTAATTCCCCTTGTGACTAAGTGTACATTTGCTTGATTGGTGGTTGGGGCTAAGGATGCAGCCGTGGTCATTGAATAGACAAAAGCTAACCCATCAAAATTCAGCTCTGGACCTTGGCCTTACTAGTTTCATGCCCTAAACAAAATTGCAGTGCTTCTAAATGATGCTTTTTTTCTGCCTTCTAGTCGACATCTCTGGCTTCATCCACTCCTGTATTTTCCATGAGTTCTCCAATATCGAGAAGATTTAACAATTTGTTTGGTAAAACAGGTATGCAGTGACTTCTAGGTACTCTCAAGTTAGTTAAGTGGATGAGTTCCTTGTCCTGTGATAACTTCCTTGACACTTTTAGGACCTATATGTAAAGAGTAATAACTATTTGACCAGGGGCAAGGGGGGGGACTCATTTTAAAAAATTCAGATAAATGCCTACTTAAAAAAAGATCTAAGACTTAATGTGAAGGGAAATTTTAGCAGGCAATTATTTACAATGTGGCAACTCCTATGCCTAGTGGGCATAAAATAATGTCTTGGGATTCTAGACATGATTTAAGAAAGCTATGACTTTAGTGTCACAGCCACACACACACACACACATACAAACACACACATACACACAAATTGTTCCCTCCCAAGTGATTCTATTCATAAATTAATAGGCACTTTTGCACTATATATTATATATTTGTGTGAAAATCACCTTCGTGAGCCTTAGTGCCATCTGCTTTGAGCTCACTTAGATGATTGCCTCAGGAGGATCTGATTCTGCAGCTCTGCTGCTCTAGAATTTGTTTAGAGCCATTTTTCACAGGTATCTGGAGGGTTTAGGGGCTACAGCTCTGAAAAACTGAAGTTTATCCATCTGGGCTCCGTATTTCTGTCCAGACTTGTAGTTTGGATGCAAATGTGAAAATCTGAAAGTTCAACTTTTTCAAGCTATACAAAGTAATCTGAACTGCCCAGAATATAATGACATTAAGAACACATTCTGGCAAGATAAATGCTTAGCACTTTTATCCTGAAAAAAAGAAAGACAACATGGAGAACATCCTCAGAAGTCACTAGTATCCCCCATCGTCCTCAAATCTGATGAGATACTACACATGCCCAAATCTAGAAAACTTCCAGTAGAGACCATGCTGTGATGTTTTGTTTGAAAACAAGCTGTGGAAAAGCCTTTTATTGACAAATACTTCTAGAGGGTACAATGTTTTATACATTTTTGGCAGATTATTTGTTTAAAAAAAAGAACAACCAACTTTCTACTTTGGAAATAAACCATCCTCACAGGTTGAAATAGAAATGACTAAACCCTCTAAAGATGTTGCCAATAAAACACTGCCAATATAAAGACAGTCATTGATATGAGTAAGTACAATCACTGGAAACAAGGAAAACAAAATGAGTAAATTGTCCTATTTGATATTAAAAATGAAGTTCAGGGAAAAAATGAAATTCAGGGAACTCTGTAAGTCAGGTCTGCAAGATGGAATTATCCATATATTTTAAACCAAAAAGAAAACATAAGGTCAGCTAGGTGGCACCATGGATAAAGCATGGGCCCTGAAGTGAAGTCAGGAAGACCTGGCTTCAAATCCAGCCTCAGACACTTACTAGCTGTGTGACCCTGGGCAAGTCACTTAACTCTAAATGCCTGGGGAAAAAAAGAAAGAAAAGAAAGAGAAAACAATAAAATCCTATACAAGCTTTTATTAGAATTATTCAGATTAAATTTAGTTTTGAAAGTTGAATTTATAGATGTGACTGTAGTCAAGAAGTTAAGCCAAGAAGCTGACAGAATTAATAGAAATTTCAAATGCCCAGTGACTGCCTGACCCTCCCTGGATGTCTGCATAGACCTCTCTTCCATCATTTATTCCATTGGAGTTTTAGTGTTCTTTGGTGTTCAGTAATGACTATCATTTTGGTTTATGTTGTCAGCAGTCACAAAGGCCCTCCCATGCAGTGATGGAAGCCTTGTTGGCTGTTGCAGTCCATGATTTTGATGGTAGGGTTGGGACTCCCCTCCCCAAACACATACATGTGTGTCCCTTCACTCCACTCCAGCTCCCATTCTCCCACCTCACTCTCCCTTAGCACTCCTTCTGAATCCCTCCTTCACACTTCCACTTCTTTCCCAGCCTCACCTGGATGTTCTTTTTTTCCCTCCCCTCCCTTCTCTTCTTTCTACTCTTTCCCTCTCACTCTCTAGTTCCTTCCTTGCTATCTGTCCAGGTCACAGAAACCAAAAATGGAAAAGGGGCAGCTCTGACCAAGCCTGCCACTTACTACAAGCATGGGAACTCCAGCCCCTCCTGTCCTGTGCATGTAGTGGCTTTGGATCAAGCTTGTGGGGGTAGCTAGCTGTACTCAGAGCTTTGTAGAGATCTGGCTGCTCTTTGGCTGCTAGTGTGGCATGAAATGTAGTTGGGGCTTTCCTGCTGCCATGCATGCTTGAGAGCAATAAATGTGTCTCTAGTCTACAGTGTTCTGATGATTGGGAGGAAAACACGGACCCTCCAATTTATTTTAAGGCATGTTAGAGTTTGCCCCACCATTAGAGCAGAGCTCCCTCTGGTGGGCAAAATAGGAAGCATCTACTTTCCACCTCAAGGACAGCCTCCACCTGTTGGTTTTATTTTGTCTTGTAGGAACGTACAACGTGTCGACCCCAGAAACAACCAGCTCATCTGTGGAAAACTCATCCAGTGCTTATTCTTTGCTTAACTGAAAACAGAAAACCACATTTGCGTGACTTCTGGGAACAGTGGACTTCACTCATTGACAAGCTCCAGAACAGGAGACACCTCTAAAATAGTCATCCCATTTGTAAAGCATCCTCTCCCTCAAGGCCTTAAAGCACAGACTTTTGCACTAGGGAAGAGGTCACACTAAATCGTGTAAAGACTTTGACTTCAAGTGGTTTTATTGTTTACTTTTGACTTTTTTCTTCTTTGGAATGATCCCATTGTGTATAGTATTTAAGTGATCACATATGTTGCCCCAAACCTAGCTTCTTCTCTGGCTTGAATGTGAATCAAGGTCTTGCAGAGACATTGTCATGATTCCCAGTTTGGGTCCAATGCTCAGTTTTGCTTAAAATAATAGGGACTAAAGGGTTAATGCACACACAAAAGTGTGGCCTTGATTTTTTTTATTCAAAAAGGACAGATTTATATTCCAATAATAATTGTCCAAGGTGGGCTAGTCATACGCTGCAAACAGTGGAAATACAGAAAGATCAGAAGTTGAAAACTGAAAGTTATCCTCAGTAAAGCTATACCAAATCAGTGGCTGGTGCAATCTGAGTAAAGCACAGAAAAATGATGAAGAAGCAGGAAAGGTAGAAAGGAAATTACATTGTAAAAATCCTTTCATTTGGAATATCTAATTTACTAGAAAAACAGAAGAAATTTATGGCTCCCCCAGTAGCCTTATCCTTATGTTTTGAGGTTTTAGCTATGAAGAGAAAAGGCAAGGGAAACTGAGACATTATTCTTTTGTAGACCCAAGCACAGAGCTGTAACTAAGGCACAGTGACTGAAGCTTTGTCCCAAGGTGAGAAATTTAGAGGATACCTATGGCGTCATCTCATGGCATATTTCCCTACCCTCTTTCATGACCCTACTCCCAAGGTTGTAGTTTCTTGCCATTTCTCTTATTTCAGCAGCTTAGAAATCTTGTCATTTCCTTCTCTTAGGGGCTGTAGTACAGGTGAGCCTACTCCCCTTCCCACTTGTCGCAGGTACAGAAATAACTAGTGATAGTTCAGCCCAAGCAAAAACTAATTATTGGTCAAATTAAATAGAGCTTGTAAGACAAGTCAGGTTGTTAAGTTTTTGAAATGTGTCCCAATGATCTGGAATCTTTTGATTTCTAAATTATATCTATTGCACTGGAAATAAATTCGTACTCTAATTATTTAAGAGCTTTAGCCAGGTACTTCTCTGTACATTATATAGTAGGTTTTCATATGTTATTGCTCTTTAGATGATGATGATGATGAATGATATAGGTAACTTTCTCTCGGTGTATCCCACATTCTCTCCCCTAGACCTCTCACTCACAGACCAGTTTTCATTAAGATGTTTCATGTGATTCAGGATGACTATATTCAACCCCTTAGAAAATCTTCCACAAGAGGTTTTATTTATAGCTGGCTTCTCTGTGCTCCTAATGACACTTCTGCTTGGTGAACAGATGTTGGAGCCTTTCCTAAGGTTTAGGGAATATTCTTCTTCCTGTTTAACCCCATTTTAATGATTATCATCATCCATAAATATTTATTGATACTCCTGGCATTTTGCTAGGCACAATGCCTATATAGATTACTTAAGGACCCTACCTTCATTCTCTAAGAAGACTAGGCAGATAAGTATAGATTGTTCTCTTTTTATATTTCAACTTTCCTTCCTTTTCTAATTTTGTTTTGGCCTTTCTTTTCAACTCCTCCCCTTTTATATTTTCTCATAAGGCCTGGAGATGGAACAGGGAGAGCTGCTAAATTATGCTTAGTATTAGGTGAACTCCTTATTTTTATCCACTCACAAAAATGCAGCAATTGACCTCCAAGTGTATCTAAGAGTTGCCCAATAAGTGATCCAACTGAGGATTCCATGGCTAAGCGTCCATTAAGAACAGTGGCTTTGGAGTCAGAGAACCTTAGCTCAAATCCCGCCTCTGACATTACCTGTGTGACTTGGAGCACCCAGACCTCTGTTTCCTCATCTGTAAAATGAAGGAGTTGGACTAGATGGCCATTTGAGGTTCCTTCAAATTCTAGATCAAGTTCTAGATCTATTGTGTGAGCCTATAATAAATTAAAGCAGCCTTAAGAGGTCTGGATAGCCTGAGCTAACAGGGAAGTTTTCACTGTTTTCACTAAGTTTTCACAATTTAGAGTTGGATAGCACCTTATAAATCACTTAGGTTAGCCTCCTTGTTTTGAATATTAAAAGATGGAGGCCTTGGAGAGATTTACTGGTGTGCCCAAGATCAGACAGGTAGTATTTCTGTGCCCCAAGGCTGAGAAGGGTTTGGAAGGTTCTAGAACAAAGGATGCCTAACAAAGAGACATCTTGAGTGAAATGGAAGGTTATTTTGCTCTGGAAACATGATAAGAGCTCAGATGGTGCCTGCAGCCAAAAAAAGAGATAGGCAGGAAAGAGACACAGAACAAAATTAGCTTAATTCCAGGGAAGGAAGCAAGTGAGTGAGGAAGAGTGAACTAGAATAGATGGAGATTCTTACATCTGGATTTTTAATGGAAAGAGAAGGGAATCCCTAGATCCACATCCTGCTGTTAATTTTGAATTTCTACCAGCTTCAATGGAAACCCTAAGGTTTCACAGTTTGAACAAGATTTGCGGAATTTCAGGAAATTTCAACAGGGTTACATAGGATACTATATTGGCACCATGCCCAAACTCCTGAATGGGAGCATGTTCTCTGACTTCTACATGATGTACACATGCACACTCCTTCAGTGCACTCAAGGGTTGCTCTGAAAATAGATCAAGAAATGCAGTTCCAGATTCACCAGAGTATTAAAGAAATACGTGAGTTTCTGATTTCTCTGCCTTAGTCCAAGATGCAGAGGTCAATCACTGACCTTTCCATTGGGTGATTTATTTCCCAAGAAATCTCCCAAGAATTGAGTAATGAGATCCCAAATTATATGAGTTCATGACAGGGGGCTTAACACACTCTGTGGTGAGCATTTTTTCCCTCTACAATGATCAGGCCTCATGTGGTAACCCCGAAGGGTAGAAGACGTCTCATAGCTTATGTCAACTGAAAGATCTAGTCTGCTTTATTTGCAGACGGGGATTTTATTTGCTTTTAGTTGCTCTGCTCTCCCTCTTGATAGGATCACCTGTGAAATCTCTAACAGAAGCTAGAGAAATGAAAGTGAAGCTAATTTCTTTATGAAACCACTGTCTTCCAAAGGGCCACTTTCACCAACTTGGGAGGTTCTATCTGGCATTCATCAAATTCCTACTGCATGTCGAACATTATGCAAGACATTAAAATAAATGTCCCTGGAACTTAGCAGAGTTCTTGGAATATAGTAAGCACTTAATAAATGTTTGTTGACTGACTGGCTGAAATAAGTTAAAGTCCCTGTTCTTAAGGCACTTGTAGTCTAGTAGTGGTACCGCTGGCGCTTGTGAAACAGATAATATAGAAATAGTCACTGAAAATCATTCTGCTAAGCCCAAGACAGTGATTTAAGGAAGGCATCCCCTAAAGATGGCACAACTCTACATCCTCTGCTCCTTAGAGCAGAGATAAATGTTTAGAGAAAAATGAACACATTCTTAAGATTTTCAGGGTATGAGAGAGTAAGGTTTGCCCTGATAGAGTCAGAGAAAAGACAACAGGGTAAAGGGGACTTAGAGTCAGAGAGCACCTGAATTTAACCCTGGATCACCTTCTTCCTTAAATGACCTTGTATAAGTCATCTAAACCTTTGTGGGTCTGTTTCCCTATCTACAAAATGAGAAGGTTGAGCTACATGACTCATTCTGAAATCTCTTCCAGTTCTAGGTCAATGTACCTATGATTGTAGGGATCTCCAACCTTCTGTGGTTCACAAAGGAGGCTGTATAAGGACGACTGAAGTTGGAAAGGATTAGGAAATAATGAGGAGGTAGGGGAAATGGGGGTAATGAGTCAAGTGAGGAGGTGGGAGATGAAGTTTAGGAAGAGGTTTCAAAGTGAAGGTAGTTGAAAGTCATGATCTTTTGTGAGATAGAGGGCAAAAATGGGCTACTAGAGTTGATTTGAAGAAAGTATAAAAAAAAAAAAGAAACCCTGACTTTTTCTTTACCTGTGAGATTTGAGAGCAGAGGAATTTGGTTGTGATCTCAGAAGGGGCTGGGTGAATGCAATCAGGTGATCCAACCCTGTTATGTCATTAACAGATGTTTGGCATAAGCAGCAACTGCTCAGAGAAGAAGGGACTCTAGCTCCTGTGCCCTGTCTAATGTTCTGGGTGCTATAAATGACAATGCCTCATTTCAGAGATAAGGAGAATGGCATCATAGTGTTTCTTACCATGAACGTAGTCTCTGTGTCATGATTTTCAATCATATGTTGCTAGGATGACTGGAGAATGGGCTTTTGATCCATGTTTGAGGGCAAAAAAGCAATTAGAATCTTCAAAAATCTCTTGCAAATTTTCCTTCTTTGTATTCAAAGATTCTGTTGCTACTAATTAGATCCCATGTTAGACTTCCTAACTTCAACCAGATTTCTCAACTTGCAACCAGTGATCGTGTCATATGTTGCACTCAGCCCCACCCAAATCATTGCAGCTCTACTGGGGACCCAAAGGGAAAGGTTTGGGCAGCAGTACAAAGATTAAATCTGACACCCTTAGCCAAAATTTCAGCTAAACCTTTGTCAATTATGAGCGTCAGATCTCCAATGAATCACTAGTGCCCTTCCCTTATATTCGTGGACTGTTTGGGTACTATTTCCACCTATGCGTAGAGATAATTCTAAGTGAGCTCTTAGTAACAAATAATTACAGTTCTGCTATAAAGTCTGATATTTCCAAGCTCTGATTGCAGGGAAATCACTATCTGCCCCACATGATGCTATCAGCAGTGTCAGCTATCTTTTTAGTCACATGTTGCCTGCTGCAAAATTCCTCCTTGTATATTGACTAGCTATGATCAGAAAAGATACTGGGGATGAGGGAGTTTATGGTATTAAGAGATCACTTGGTTTCCCCTAAGTGAGAGCTGTGTTTCAGAAGTGGTTGGTAAGATTACTCTAGAGAAAGAGATCTTAACACACTCCCCATGAATAGATTTCAGAGGGCCTGTGAACATGAATAGGGAAAAAAGAACTATGTCTTTATTTTAATATAATTGGTTTCCTTTGTAACTCTATGTATTTTATTTTATGTATTTAAAATATTATTCTGAGAAGAGGATCTTCAGGCTTCACTAGACTGCCAAAGAAGGCCATATCAGAAAAAAATTAATAACTCCTGCTGCTCCATATCATCTTTAAGATGCTCACTCCCAAAACAAAGCCCCTCACTATTCTTTGTTCAGTCAAAGTGTCTCTATGATGGGAGCACTAGTAAAGGTCCCCCACTGTATTTAAAGACGGTTCTTTAGGGCAACTGGGTCCTGTGTTTCTTTTGAGCTATGAGCAGAAGTGAGAGGTCACCTTTCCAAAACAGAGGCCATATGGCTATTACAGAAATCCACAAAAGGAATAATATTTAGCTATGGTAAAAAGAATTCTAAGCCTACTGATCTATGAGCCAACCGTCTCTTAATATGGCTTTTCTGGCCAGTGTGCCTTTCATGTATGGGCTGACGTCAGAAGATGTTTGAGTGGGCAGACTGATGTCTGATCCTTGCCCTTAATACTTGCATTTTTGTTTCCCAGTCCTTCAAAAACTTCTCTTTAGTCCTGTCACTCCCCCTTCCTCCTCCCACCCCCATGCAAAGCATTGCCTGAATTTCATGCCCGGCTTCCGAGCATTTTCCCACTTCAGTGGCCCCATGGGCTTCCCTTGAGGTTGTTCTTTCTCTCTTGTTAGATTTCTCTGTACCCTATTGTCCCTGTCTGTGATTTTCAGGCTGTTTTCAAGCACTCTGTTCTCTGTAAGATAATGTATACTGTCATGTAAAAGGAAGACATTTATTTTTGTATTTTAAAGAGTTTTTTTTTTCCTTCCCTCATAAAATTCACACCTCAGATATATAAACAGGAGGGAAAGTATTTGTTCTTGCTTCCTATGTGTATTTCATCACCAAGTTCTCTGTCAATAAAAGCTGCTCACACAGGTGTGAGGGATGACTGTTTATTCTGAGCATTTACACGTGCAGACCAGGGATGAGCTGCTTTCCACAAAACAAAGACTCAGGGTCTGTTAATTTAAAAAATAACCATATTTCAGTATGATTGGTTTCCCTTGTAATCCTATGTACTTTGTTTATTTAAAATTATTATTCTGAGAAGGGGTCCACAAGCTTCATTAAATTACACAAAAGGGAAAAAAATTTACTGACACACCAAACTTCACCAGACCATGACACAAAAGGGAAAAGAATTTTATCAAGTGACTACTATATGTTAGACAGTGTGCTGTGCACTTTAAAAATATCACTCATTTGATCCTCACAACAATCCTGGGATGTAGATGCTATTATTGTCCCCATTTTATAGTTGAGGAAACTGAGGCAGACAGAGGTCAAGTGATTTTTCCAGGGTCACACATCTAGCAAGTATCTGAGGTCAGATCTGAACTATGATCAAGAACTCCTGCTCTGTGCTGACTTCCAGGGCCGATAAGGTGAAGAACCTTGTGTCTATACCAAATGAGGATAGGCATTAGCTCTAAAATGGAAATCAGGTTTAGCTTCTGCATAAGTCAAAGTGAGTGAGTACCCATAGAGAATGGCTTTAGAGGTGCCACGAGTCAATCTCTGCCTAAAAATGTCTCTGCCCCTGGAGTAGTATAGGGGAATAAAAACCAACTTTGGAGTCAGAGGACCTAGAAGACATGATAATGTGTGACCTTAGACAAGTCACTTTGCTTCTTTGGGGATCACTTTCTTCATCTGTAAAATGAGTAGGTTGGACTAGATAATCTATCAGGGCCCTTCCATCTATAATCCTATGATCCCATTGATTATATCTAGAGTATGTCAATATTTCCAGAAGTCCTCCCAGGTAGCTCTCCTCTCCTCCTTCTGGTTCCTATAAATACCACTATGAGTCACTCCTTTGAGTTGGCCCACAAAGGCAGGGATATTGTGCCCAGAAGGTCATGGGAAAAATATTTAGAAGTTTAGTGGAGATTCTGGGAGATATGGAGGCATTCTTTTAGCCTTTTTCCATTAGAAAAGTAGCTTCAGGAAATACTAGGTGCCTGGACCTTAGGGATTGAGACTGAGGTTGAGGGTGTAGAAAGGAACCTAAGAATAATAAGGAATCTAAAAGTAACATGTTCTGGGTGGTCTTTGGTGAGATGCTTTCCAGTGAATCACTCCAGGGAGGAATGGACAAAGAGATGGCCCCAGGTGGTGGGGTTTAGAGAGTGGAAGGCAGAGTGCTGAATCTACTTCATTTACTTATCAATTTCACCATTTTTCCTGTGGTCAGTCCTTCAGGTAATTCATAAGACTGTCCTCATAGGGACCTAAAATACTAAGAGCAGGCTTTTAAAATTGTTGCCCAAAAAATCCCTTGCTAAATATATGAAATTTATCAGGAATGTTTCTCCTGGTAACATGGTCAATATCTTTTCCTTTTAACTCAGAAACCCTGGATCACTGAATATAACTCCATGTCATTAACTCAAACCCTACCTGCTTCAACTCATACTCTGCCTACTTCCTGTTTTTGCATATACATCCAGATTGTCAAGGGCCTAAATGACTAGTTGATTGAATGATGACTGTGTTTTTCATCCATCATTTCAAAGATGACCAGTGACATCATGAGGTGATGTCTTGACTTGCGCATAAATTAGATTTAAGTGAAGCAAAGTGGCACAAAGTCATCAGCCTCACTCTCTCCTCCAGAGTGCATTGGATGACCTTGGCGCCTTTAATGTCTGACTCTAAGCCTAAGCACTCCACAGCACCTACTTCAGCTGCCATTATGGCCATTGGAACAAATTGTTCTCGTATGCCCATTCTACCAGGGGAAGTCTTCAAATGCTTGGGGTGGACATCCCCAGAACTCACCGATGGGTTTGAAGCCTGTTGGTTACCGTCAACCTGGGTTAGTTCCTTCTCCAAGACAGTTTTACTGGGGTGTGGCCACTGGGCATGCTACAGTTTCTTGGAGCCAGGTGAGAGTTGGTGGATCAAATGGACACTAAAGGTGGATGAGCAGCCCTGAAAAAGGCTTGGCAAGCCTTCACACCAGAGGTGCTCGTCCTCCCTGAACATCCCATACACTTCAAGGTAAGGACTACAGTTTGGCCCTAGAGGGGCCACGTTGTCCACCCATGATCCTAATATGAACTGGGGGTTGGGAGAAGGGGAAAGGTAACCATCCCATGGGCGGGGCTTCAAATACAGATCAGCCCTATGGACATCCAAGAGTCAAGAGGAGGTAGGAGAGGTTGAAGAGTCTTCTAAATTGTGATTAGCTCTGGTAATTTCCAAATGGCCCATATCAAGATTAGAATCATAGAGGGAGTATTAGGTCTGGACTCAGAAGAGTCAGGAGACCTGGGTTCAAATGCCACCTCTGACCCATATTACTCATGTATGTAAGCAAGTAACAATCTCCTGGGCCTCAGTTTCCTCATCTGTAAAAACAAAAAGGCTGAATTTGATGGCCTCTGAGGTCCCTTCCGGTTCTAAATCTATGCTCCGAGACAAAGTCACCATAACTATTATTCATTTAATGGTTAATAAACAATTATTAAGCACTGTGCTGAGTGCTGTGCATACAAAAAGGCGAAAGACAGTCCCTTCCCTCAAGAAGTTTATAATCTAACTGGGGAAACAACACGAAAACAAATCCAAAGCAAGCTATATACCTAAATAGGATAAATAAGAAATAATTAACAGAGGGATGGCACTAGAATTAAGAGGGGTTAGGAAAGGCTTTCTGTAGAAGATGGGGTTTTAGTTGGGACTTAAAGGCAACCAGGGAAGGCAGTAGATAGAGATGAAGTGGGAGAATATCCCAGACATGGAAAACAGCAAGAGAAAACATTCTGAGCTAAGATACTTTGAGTCTTGTTTGTGGAACAGAACAGAGGCCAATGTCGTTGGATTCAAGAGTACCTGGCAACAAATAAAGTCTAAGAAAACTGGAAAGGTAGAAGAAGGTAAGGTAATGAAAGGTTTAAAATGTCCATGAGGATCCTGGAGGCAATTGGGAGCCATTAGAGTTTATTGGGGCAGCTAAGTAGTGCAGTGGATAGAGTGCCAGGCCTGGAGTCAGAAAGACTCATCTTCCTGAGTTCAAAACTGGCCTCAGACACTTACTAGCTATGTGACCCTGGACAAGTCATTTAACTCTGTTTGCCTCAGTTTCCTTATCTGTAAAATGAGCCGGAGAAGGAAATAACAAGCCACTCCAGTATCTCTGCCAAGAACATCCCAAATGTAATCATAGAGTCAGACAGGACTGAAAAACAACAGAACAACAACAATAAAATGGCACTTTGCTGAGCTCTGGAGATACAGAGAAAGGCCGTACTCCCAAAGAGACCACAGTCTAATACATGCAAACCACCATGTGCAAACATAAATTGGAGCTAATCACTTGTAGATTAATTAGCCCAGTCTCTTCAGGCACAGTGAGGTTAGATAACTTCCCCAAAGTCACTCAGTGTGATGCCTGGGTAATAGGGGGAAGGGAACTAAGGAATTGGTCCAGTCACAAAGAAAACACCCTCACAGGCTGAACCAGTCACTAAATGGCAAGATGCAAGAGTGCTTTTGATTATTTCCTTTTGAGAAGCCAGTTCCTTACACCCATAATCCCAGACGGATACTGATGGGAAGGTATTTGATTAATGCAGGGAATTAGTACCATCTGTCATTGACCTTTTAGGTTTGGTTTCTAGGGAACACCAAGTTTTTCCTAGACCCCAGATGGCTGTTGTGGTGGGAAGAAGCTCAAGCAGTTGTCTCCAGCTGCAGGAGTGAGTGGATGAGTGACGCTCTGCCCCAGCTCAGCATCCATTTCCCAGGTCTCTCCTCCAGCGTTGCCTGTGTGTTCTATGGCTCTACTGCCACCTGGTGGAAATCTGCAGCACGAGGCTGCTCCAGTCACTGGCATGATCAGAAGTTCCAAGGTTAGGCCAGTAGAAAACTTTCTCTGGGAAAGGCAAAAGGAAGACTATTATATGTTCACAGTTTATTGATTTAGAGCTGTAAAGGGAACCTCAGAGGACAGCTAGTCTGATCTCCTTGCTTTACAGATGAGGAAACTGGATAGGAGAATGGACCAAGTATTTATTAAATGCTACAATGTTACAGTCTCTGTGCTAAGTGCTTTATGGATATCTAATTTGGTCCTCACAACTCTGAGAGGTGAGTACCATTATGATTTATATTTCATAGTTGAGGAAACTGAGGCAGACAAAGGTTAAGTGACTTGCCCAGGGTCACATAGTAAGTGTCTGAAACTAGATTTGAACTCATATCTTTCTGACTCCTGTCCCAGTGCTCCAGCACTGCATCACACAAAGAAATTAAAAAAAAGAGTGCCTAAGCATCATATTTCAAGACATTATCAAGGAAAACTGCTCTGAGATCCTAGAACCAGAAAGTAAAATAGAAATTAAAATAATCTACTGATCAATTTCTAAAAGAGATACTAAAATGAAAACTGACAGGAATATTAGAGACAAATTCCAGAGCTCCCAAGTCAAGGAGAAAATATTGCAAGCAGCCAGAAAGAAACAGTTCAAGTATTGTAGAGCCACAGTCAGGATAACACAAGATTTAGTAGCGTCTACGTTAAAGGATTAGGGTGCTCAAAATATGATATTCCAAAAGGCAAAGGAGTTTGGATTAAAACCAAGAATCACCTACCCAGCAAATAATCCTTTGGGGTGGAGGAATGGTCATTTAATACAACAGACGACTTTCATGCATTCCTGATGAAAAGAACAGAGTTGAATAGGAAATATGACTTCCAAAGAAGCATTAAAAAGGTAAACAGGAAAGAGAAATCATAAGGGATTCAATAAGGTTAAACTGTTTACATTTCTACATGGGAAGATGATGCTTGTAACTCCTAAGACCTTTATCATTCTTAGGGCAGTTAGAAGTGGCACAGGTGTGAGTTGACTACAATGGAATGATATC